TTTATTGATTTTTAATTATCTGTAATCACTTGTCTGTAATATATTATAATATAATGAAGTTCCTCAATAATTAAAATCAACTACTTCCACACTAACTAAATTTTGTTTTGTTTTTATTGGTGTTAATTGAAACTTCATTTAAATAATCTCTTTTTATAAAATAAATAGTTTCATGATAAATTATTAATAAAAGTAAAAAGAATTTTCTTTGATAAATGAATTTTTAGGTTTTGACATTTTGATGAAATTAAATATCTTTTGTTTATATACGAATAATTAGCTTTTTTTGATTCGCACTTGTTTCTAATTAATTCTGAAAATTTGATTAATTTGAAATAGCATCAATTAATTTTATCAATAATATAATGAATCTAAAAATATTAACTAAATGTAAATAAATTTATACAGATACTTCTATTCAATCAATAAAAGTAGATAAATTATAAAATGCAAGCGAGTTTTCTTAATAAAAATTACCAGCATATTTATTTTAGAAATAGCTTAATAAGATTATTTCAAAAAACTGGTTTAAAATTTACTTATAACTTCAGAGAGCCACAAAATTATTTAATTAATTTGTAAATAAGTGTTGATTTATAAAGATAATACTTAACTTGATTTTGTATGATGAATTACGAATTTGAAAAAATAATAATTTAAATAAATATAGATTTAAATATTTATTTGATCTTATTTAATTGTACCGCAATTTTGTGATATCAATGAATATTTTAAGAGATGGTTTTTTTCCAATAAAACTAATTGAGTTAAAAATTTTATAGCGAATTTAAATTTTTTATTTTCAAAAAAATATTTCTTTGTTTTAATTTTATTACCCTTCTTTAAAAAAAATTCTTTTAGTTGTTGTGCTTAATTGATAGATAGATAGATTGAATGGTTGGTTGGTTTGTTTATTTAATTATCTATTTATCTATTTATTTATTTGTTTATTTTTAATTAATTTTTTTATTTATTGATTAATTTACTTATTAATTTATTTTATTGCTAGTTTATTTACAAAATAAAATTTTATTTAAAAAGTAATATGGATAATTAAATTAATTTTTGATATGAAATAATAATAATAATAACCAAGTTTAATATAAACTTAATGAAAATGACAAATAAGCGCATGCTAATTTGACCAATTTTAGCTTCATGAAATACTCATCTTATTTTTAATAGATGACTCTGTATTTTTTTAAGTTTTATCCTTTTATTTTTATTTTTTGACATTTATTTTGTTATTTAATTTTTGCTTTATTTTTACAAGAAAAAAAGACTTTGTCAAAAAAATAATAAAAAATAAAATTTTTTTAAGAGTAGAATTAATTTATCTCTTAACGCGCTATTGCTTTTAAAATTATTTTCATTTGGCAGTAAAGCCTGAGATAATTCTGGCAATACCGTTGCTCCAGAATATTTCACTTCCCATTTACTTTTTGAGGAAGATCACGATTTATAGGTCTCTGGATTCGGTGGATTCTACGGATTCGGTGGATTCCTATGTGCTTTTTTCAGCAAGTCTTTTTTCGTTTATAATTATTTGTGTCTAACAGACAAGAGGCAGCTGAACCTTTTTATATTATTAAATAAAAAATTCTATTATAAAATAATAAAAATGCAAAAAACATTGATAAATTTATAAATTAATGTAAATTTAAATTTTCAAAAATACTTTTTAAAAAATAAAACGTTTTTTCTTATTTAACATTCTGCTAAATCTGACATGCTCAAAATTTTGCGCTTTTTACACCAAAATGACCGCGCGAGCATGTAGATTTCGAATCTAGTTTTAAAATTTAATTACCTGTTGTAATCACTGAGATATTTAGCATTTTGTATCTAAAATTTCATCCAGCTATTTGATAGGTTTAAGCAAACATTCATCCAACAAATAGGTATTAGAAATGATCCTGAGAGAGCGATCTACATGAATATGTTAAAATTATTTTATTTTGATTAAGTTAAAATATTTTACAAAATCATGACAATATAGCGTAATACATTTTGAAATACCTCTTCTAAAAAATATTATTTTTTTAAAAAAACAAAAGTTTTTCTTTTCATCAAAAATAACTAACTATCTTTACTTTTTGTTGTCCTTCTCAGAAGGTCTTATGGTGATAAATATTTTAATCAATCAATCAACCAATTATTTCGTTTTCATATATTTAAAAAGTAGTATAGAAAAATTAATTTGTGAATTAAATTAGATAATTTTTACATATGATAGGTAAAAGAATACACTTTTGAAGAAGTTCATTGAATTCACAAATAATAAACATATGCAAATACTTAATTTTAACTTAAAAATATCATTTAGCCTATCAAATTAAAGCAATTATTGTAATTAAACTGATAGCAAGAATTTGACTTGAAGTACTTGGAGTATTTGAATTACTTGGAGTATTTGAATTACTTGGGGTATTTTAATTACCTGAACTACTTTAAACACCACAAGTACCACCATTTTCAGTATAATTACAGAACTTTGCTTAATTTGTACAAGTAGCTGAGTTGTCACCTTAGGAACAGGAGGTATTAACATTATTTTTACAACTAGTAGGTTACCATAAACAACCATTATTTGCATTACAATTGATCTAATCTGAAATTGCCTCACAAACTGTAAAAGAAACACTGTTGTAGCAATAATTTCCTTTACTCCATATACAAATACTTTGAGCTTAACAGGTGGGTTGAGATTTTAATTATGAGCAATCTACTTTTATTTCACAAGTAGAAACAAGATCGCATTTAGAAGAGTTGGCAGTCAAGGCACAATCAGTGATAGAGAGAATTTCACATTTATTTTCGCAAACATAGTTTGAAGTGAATATACAATTATTGTTAAGAGCACAATCGCTTTTTGTTTATAAGGCAGAACAGGTAGAGGCAGTATCGGCAAGAATTGAACCACATGCAGCTAAGAGGACGAATAAAACAAGTTTGTTCATTTTTTCTTATGATATTTTCAATAAATTGTAATTAATATTTTTTTTTAATTAATAAAATATCAAAAAATGAAGAATGAACGAGCTAGATTTGAACAATCATTTAATTTTGTTTAGATTAAATGATTATATTTAAATTATCTTATTGGAATTTTCTCTCTCTAGTGGATACAGATTTTAATTATTTAAGTTGATAACAAAGATTACTGGCATATCAATTTGATTGGAGACAACTTTTAATAATTTTAGATCAAAGGGCAGAGATAAGGATGAGGAATTATTTTATTTTTATTTTATCCTACTTTCCTACATTTAAACTCTTTTTGAGGATATAGAAATACTAAATTATCCTCAACTTAATAATTTATGCAGATTCACTCTTCATTATATAGGAAAATACGACATTAAAGCTAGTCTTTTGGTATAAGCTGAATCCAGCAAATAATTCATTGTATATTTAAGAAATTGGGTACACTAACATACAATTAAAAAAATTCACAATTTACCCTACAAATAATCACAAGGTAAGATATATATGTGGCCTTTAAATATATATAAAACCTCCACAAATTCTTTAATCATTACAGAAATATGAAATAAACGTATTTTCACCTTAAGAGTTTGGTTAGTTAATTTATTTAATTCTGATAAAAATTTGGTACTTCCCCAAATATTTAATTGATTGATAAAATTTGATTTCAGTTTGTCTCAGCTTCTAAAGTAAGTTTGGTTGATTGATTGATTGATTATATTAAATTAAGATAAAAACTTGTGTCTTAGCTAAGAATTTAATTTATTAACAGATAGAATAAATTCTTTATAAATTTGTATTGGCCACAATAATTTTTTAAACCAATGTAACAAATTATGATGACTATTTTTATTCTGGAGCTTAATATTTTCCAAGGTTTTTTTATTTCTTAGAAAGTTACTAATTTAAAAAAAACGACTTAGAACTTACTTTGCTATTATTATGGATAAGATAGACTTACAATTAATTCATAATAAAAGTTTTAAACATTTGTTACTAATCCCAGTATTAAAATATGATATACTTGATTACAGTGTGGTTTGATTTCATTTAAAATTAAAAAAATTGAAAAAAAAATAAGGTAAATTTAAGTAAAGGAAGGAGATAATCAATAAAATTCATAAATTGAATATAATATCTAATTAATCATTAACATATACAATATTTAATATTTTTCAAATTTTTTGTGGGGGTTTTTCGTTTAGGGTGTTAAGAGCAAATTTTTTAATTTCATAAAATCTGTTGTTAAAAGTAAAAAAAGGTGGGTTGGATCTTAATTAATTACCCTTACCAATTTATAAAAGACTCTAAAAAATTATTAAAACCAAGAATGCTGTCCTTATTCTAACTGTTGTTAAAATACATTCTTTATTATAAAAATAATTTTAAATACTATTTAGCTTAAATTTTTTAATAGTTTATATAATTACATAGAATATTTCTTTCTTTTTTATATTTCTTTTAGATTTTCCAAATTAAAATTTATTACCTTCGCATCTTTATATTTGTCGTGATAATAAGTAAATGGATATTTAATTATGGATTATTATCATTACTACTTCTCTATTAGATAGAATCTTTGCTGTTTTTAGAAAGAATTTCTTCCTATGGTATCTATAATATAGCTATGAATAATGCATTTCAAACTAAACAGAATGGTAAGACAATAAAGTCTACTATGAAACTCATAGTTTCATGATTGATTAACATTTGTAACAAATGTTATAATTTCATTTCTCTACATTTTAGATAAGGAATTAATTCATTTATGTGTAAAATATTTATAAAATATTTTAGTGTTTTGGAAATTAAAAATGTCTTATTTTTCGTTTTGATAAAGCAAATAAAAAATAAAAAATGGAATTACTAACATTTATATGAGTTAAAAATTCTCTTTCTTAAATAATAGTTAACTTGATTACAAATTCTTAGTAATACCAAATCAAAAAATTAATTCTTACAGTAATTGTATTTTTTAATATTAATTTGATCATTGTTACAGATAAATTAAATGTAATAAATTATATTGTACAAGAGAAGGAAGTAATATTTACCATGAAATTTAAGAAAAAGAGATACTACTTTTAAGAAAAAGAGATACTATTTTTAAGAAAAATATAAATAATCTGTATTGTAAAAACCTTAAACTAGAAAATAAAAAAGATTAGTGTACTGAAGAAATTAATATCTCAAAAAAGTTATTAAATTTCCTCCTTTAATTAAAAAATAACAAAAAATGAAAAGAATTATATATTTTTTTTTATTTATTAAGTAAAATTAAATCTCAAATTTGAGGTAAAAGTCTTAAGTACTGTAAATATCATTCAAATAATAAATCAGACTTTGGAAAAATAGATGATAGATATATATATTTTTTTACAGACCTTCTAATTTAAGAAACTTCTACTTTTAGATATAATTACAAATCTAATAAATATTAAACCCTAAGATACCCTTATCCTTATTATTGTTATTATGAATAATGAAAAATTAAGGTTTATCACTTTAAAAAATATACTTTCTTATTAAAATGAGTAATCAATAATTATAAATACTGTTTAGCTTATTTTTTTTATAGTTTATAAAGTTATTGTATTTCTTTTTCTTTTAGAATTTCTAATTTAAAATTTATAGTCTCTACAAGTGTATATTTTATTTGTCTAGTTGCTTAATAAATGAAAATAAAACTTTGGGTTACATTTTTTAGAATGATCTTTTAATATATAGTTACTAATGTTTATTTTAGAGATAAAAGAAAATCTAATTTTTCTTTTTGACTCAGTTTGAAATTTAAAGCTGCTAGTTTATCAAAATGAACGATAACTATAATAATTACTTACCTAGAGGTAATAAATATCTCTGAACTAGGATAAAATAATGTCTAAGAAATAGAGATGGTTAATTTAAAAATAATGTTTAATATATGATGAATATTTAATACTCTAAATAAACACTCCTCAATTAAGAAAATGAAAAAATTGTTATTTTAATTTTCACTTTAAATTGTAACTTTGAAATTTTTTTTCTCAATTTCAAATATGAAATTTTGAAATATCTTAGAAAGTTAAAAATAAATAAATGAATTATTTATTACAAACATTTGAAAAAGACCTCTTTATAATTCAGATTATTTTTCAAAATTAAAGAGTCAATTTCAAGTGAATAAATATTAAAGAAAGGCAAATTTCAACTTTATTTGTAGTTTTTGATAAATTTAAATTAGTTTTTATATTTAGCAGTTCACTCAAAATAAAAATATTGTATTTATTTTTCTAAATATGCTTATTCTAGAATTATGTCTAAGGTTAGATTTTGTATAAAAAAACAAAAAAATATCATTTTGTTATTTTAAATATTAAAATTGTTACTTTATATCTAAAAAACACAAAGAATACTTTTTAATTTCACAATACTTCAGTTTATATTTTCGTTTTATGAAATTAAAAATTGCATTGCTGTTATAATAGATTTAAAAATACAATAAATTTAGTAAGAAGTGAGTTTTTGTTAAAGACACCCTAGTAATTACTATAGAAGTGTGTTTAAGCAAGCATTTTTTAAAAGATTAAGAGAAAAATAATTGGAAAGTATGCTAAAAATGTATGAGCATTTAATCCAAAGTTATTAATGATTTTTTATTGTTTGTACACATAAATGATAAAAATGAATAACAGATAGAAGAATACCCTTTTGATTGATTAAAGCAACTAGAATAATCAAAGTCCTTAATGAAAAGTAGGTTTCACATAAAAAGGTATTTAGTAAAGAGATAAAGTTTATTGGTCAATTGATTGATTAACTTAAAGAGATTAAGTCGTAGCTAATAAATCTTTAAGAAAGTAATGAAAAATTATCGCAAAACATGCTTAATAAGATAAATAACCTTATTCTGATGCTTTATATTAGATAAATTTCAAAGTAGAATTGCTCTAAATTAGCAAATAACTAAGAAATAGAATTTATGAAGAGAGACTTTTAATTAACTCTATTAACTTAAAGAAGGTTAAGATATTAAATATCAGATTAATAACTTTTAGTAAGGAGTATTCTTAGGTAATCAGAACTTTGAAGACAAATGCCACTTCTTTATTGGATGTATAGACTCCGAACTTAAAGTAGTAATAGGATAAAATCATGATATGCCTTGTGTTTGTTTTATTTGCTACCTAAAATAAAAAGAAATAAACATAGGTAATATTAAATAATTAAGTATATACGCAGCATTTGATATTTAATAAAACCCGGTTACTTTTACCTTTAATGATAATGTCTTAAATTAACATTCAGTTATGATAAGTTATAACTTTTAGCCATTCTAAGAATGGAAATTATTTATGAGCGCTTGCTTTTAACTTAAATTCAAAGGAAAAAATATAATATTATTATTAAAATAATAGGAGATAGGAAAAGCAATCTTTGTTAGAAAAAATTTAAGAAGAAGATGAGTTTACAAAGAAGAGTATGTGCCAAAAACAAAGGGAAGAGCTTACTAATTTAAAAAATAATAGAAAAATTTGAAAAGGTAATTCAATTAGGTCCTAATTTAGGAATTATATTGTTGTATATTGTTCATTGCAGCACTAGTATTTGTGAGTTTAATTCTAAAGTTTTCTAGGCTATAAAATTGTAGAAATCTTTGAGTTTTCCATTTTTTTAATAAATAATATGTTATCAAATTACTTCTTTAAAATGCATTAAAAGGTATAAATGTTCTAAATTATATATAAATTATAGTTTTGACTATGAATTTTAACATAAAAAAATAAATGACTCTTACTTAATATCTTACTAATAAAATAATCATTAAGATTAAGCCAATTAAATTTTGTGTGCCAAAAGCTTTAAATTCAAATTAATTAGTGAATTCACATTCATTGAAAATTATGATAAATCAATATTGCTATTTTCTGATTATTATTTCTGTAGTAGGAAATAAATATTTAGTAGAATAATAAATATTATTTAAAAAATT